TGCGGTGGCCCGAGTGCGCCGGCGCGACCCGCCTGGCTTTGGCAGCGCGGCGACTGAGGCCGGGCTCCAGCTCCGTGGCTCCCGCCGGCGCCGGCCCGGTGGCTCTGCTGTCTTGGCTGCATCTCTCCTGCATATTTATGATCGTCTGTCACATTCCCTGTCCGTGGACAGTGTCCAAAGCCTAGCTCGGGGGAGCGTGCCAACAGGTGGGGGACTCGGCCCGACGGGCAGTGTGCTGGATGCGCCTAACGCGCCGCGGACATTCTGGGCTGCCTTTCGGGAATCGGGTTGTGTGACGGCGGTGGCAGCCAAGGTGGCCTGGTTCTGTCACCTGGCCACCGCTTTCCTTGCGGCCTGTGACCATAACCCTTCACTGATAGCCGCTCTGAGATCACCCGCTGCGGGCTGGGTGGCAGTGAATCCGGCTCAGCCTGGGAGACCTTCACCCGGGCTTCCCGCGTGATTGCTGTGCGCCCCAGTAACTGGCACAAGGGTGGCCCCTCCATTGCCTTCTTGCCCACTTCGGAATTGACCTGTATCGTTGCAACTTTTTAATGAGCAGAAGCATAACAAATCCCTCCCCACGCACTAATCTGCCCTACACTTAAGCCGAGAACCAATGGAACAGGTACATCAAGGAGATCCTGAGGGATAGCCAGATACCCGATTGTAAAATCCCAGTCTGCAGGGCTATGCGCAGCAGGGTAGGATGTGGGGAAGAGGAAGGGTTAAAGAGGAACTTGAAAAGTCCAAGAAATGCCAATACTAATAATCCATTGTAAGCTTTACCTTGTGGAAACCCGAACAATGCAGAAAATATTTTTCAAGTCAGTTTTAGCTTTATTTGGTCAAAATTGAATCTTAAAGACAGTGCCCTTCACAAATCTTCAGAATCATGAAAATCCAAAGACACAAAGTTTTATAGCCTGTAAGGTTCTTTCCATCCTAGGTTGTATTATCCTCTGATACTGTGCAAACAACCCTCTGTTTTATTGGCTGATTGTTAGGAAGGCAGCCGATTTCATTGCTTGCTTGTGCCAGGGTCTGTGTCCCTCATCTATTTGCTTATTGCCCCTGCCATTCACTTGGATTCTAGAAGGGAAACAATCCCAAATTTCATTTGCTAAAGGAGCGTTTGTAGGAATGGGTTTCTCTCATTTTGTGCCTCCGTCTTGAGGAAAGATGCTATGTTCCAAAGGCTGTTCCTAATCTTAAATAGTCAAAGAGGCAGAGATGGGCCCTGTCTCAGAAGTGAAGCACATGAGAAATTCAAGGGCTTTCTTTCTACTAGGTCTGCATTATTGTATCTGACATGTGAAACTGCATGATTTCAAACTCACTATACACACAAAAATGCTTTAAATTCAAACAGCATTCCTCCTTTTATAGGTATCGATAATTAAATCAAGTACCTGTTCTATATTCAAAGTTTTTTATTCATTTCACTTTATTTCTGATTTTTTTTGGGGGGCGGGGGGGGAGCTGTTTGTTCGTTCTTAATAGGGTCTCATTACATAGCTCTGGCTGCCCTGGAACTCACTATGGAGAGCAGGCTGGCCTCAAACTCACAGATAACTGCCTGTCTCTGTCTCTCCAGTGCTGGGCTAAAGGTATACACCAACACTCAGCTTTTTTTTTTTTTTCCATTTTAAAGTTTATTTGACCTATTTCAGTTTATTCAGAATCCAGGAAATAGTGCTTCTATCATACACTTAGCAGCCAGGTGTGGTGGTACACACCTGTACTCCTAGCACTCAGGGTCAAGGCAAGAAGATTAGCAACTGGAAGCTAAACCTAGTTGGCATGAGACCCTCTCCTTCCAAACCCCCAAATAATAAATAAGCACCCAGAACCCTCAAAACTGGGTTACAAAGAACCTTAAGATAGGAATAGCTTACATAGTACACAACCAGGAAATCTCTGAGGAACGTTTAAGTAGTAACTAAACATAATCTTTATAGAAGAAAGACATAGGCTTAGGTTTACAACACTATCATTTCAAAACAAGAGTTTAAATAGCAACCCTCTCCAATGAAGAATCAAGTGTTTTGCATTGAGTTAAAGGTCTAGACTGGGAGGATAATGGGCGACAGTAAATATAATTCTGCAGGCCAGAAGCATGCTGCTGACGAGGTGTTAATGAAAGGGATTTCCCTGCCAGGCTTGGTGGTGCAGGCCTTTAATTCCAGCATCTAGAGGTAGAGGTAGGCAGATCTCAAGAGTTGGAAGCCAGCCTGGTCTACATAGTGAGTTCCAGGACAACCAGAGCTACATACATAGTGTGACTCTGTCTAAAAAAAAAAAAAAATAAAAGAAATCAAGAAAGGAATTTTCTATTTGTGGGAAGTAATTTTAATAGATTGGAGGGAAATTGAGAAGTTGGGAAGAGTGTTATATCCATTCTGTGGCTGTTGTTATTTTGAAAATAACAACACTAGAAATAACAACAAGACAGAAAACCACTATTTATTTTTATTGTATGTGTTTGAGTATTTTGCTTGCATGTATGTTTTGCCTGCATGTATGTATGCATACCACATGCATGTCTGATGCCCATGAAGAGGACATCTGGTCACCTGGAGTTGGAGTTACAGGTAGTTGTGAGCCCACATGTGGGTGCTGGGAACCAAACCTGGGCCCTCTGCAAGAGCAGCAAGTGCTCTTAACCATTGACCATCTCTCTAGCTCCAACTTTATTTATTAATTAATTAATTAATTAATTTATTCATTCATTTATTCATTTATTTATGTATTTATTTGGCTCTACAGGAGCACTTGCCGCTTTTCCAGAAGACCTGGGTTTGATTTCCAGCACCCACATGGGGGCTCACAACAATCAAAACCCTCCAGTTTCAAGGGATCCAACACCCTCTAAAACTCTTAAGTGGGCACCAAGCATGCATGTTGCACATAGTCATACATGCAAGCAAAATACCCATACACAAAAAAAGAAAAAAAATTAGAAAAATGGAAATTTAGTAAGAAGTACACAGTTTTCAAAATAAGTTGCCTAATTCCATATTTCAGTTAAAATTGAGTAGTTATGATTTTATGATTAGAAAATACATAGACCCTACTGTTTAAGAACCATGAGTTAAAGAAAGTCACAATATCTCTAAGTCCTTACTGCTTTGTGTACAAACCAGATCCTTATAATTTGCTTGCATGTATGTTTTACCTGCAGGTCTGTATGTGCACCACATGCATGCTTGGTGCCCATGAAAGCCAGAAGAAGGCATCTGATCACCTGGAACTGGAGTTACAGGGAATTGTAAGCCAACATTTGGGTGCTGGGAACCGAACCTGGGTCCTCTGCAAGAGCACCATGATTCCCTAGAATGATGCTTCAGTGTAAGCGATTTCTCAGTGCATTAGTTCCTTCAAGGAATAGTATGGCAATGAGTGTACGGCTTGTGGTTACAGGACTTGGGACTGACACTATTACAACTACACATTTAGTTGTGTGACCCTGGAATTAACATAGAGGGCAAAAGAGTACTATTTCCCTTTTGTGATAACTCCTTTATGATGTTTTCAATCTTCAACTGTAAAGTGCTTTCATCTCCTGATAGCACATCCAGCATATCTCTTGCCCCTAGATGGTTTGACATGAGTTCTTCACACTTTTCCTGAGTGAAAAAAAAAAAAAAATCTTTAATGAAAACAACCCTAATAATGGAAAGGTCTGGACTCTCTCTGATTGTAACTGGAGTGTTCGACAAAATGAGAAGGGGTAGCCCCTCTGTTCCATTTTCCTTACTATGAAATCACACTTGGGCCAGACGGTAATGGCCTCTTAAAACATTAAAACTATGCCACAGTCTATGTATCCTCTGGTTTAGATCCTTAAGCAACTTGGTTAAAAAAAAAAAAAGGTAGATTGGCCTGTTGATGATACCAATATTTGTAGGAAAGTATGAAATCTTTAACTAGAATCACTTTGTTCTTGGTCTAAAATATAAATAAAAGGAATTAAAACACATTAACTATACTGATAAAATATCAAAGATTCCTATATCTTCATGTGCCTTCTTCATGTTCTGCGCACTACTTCCTTATTCCTTGATCTGGGACAAATAACTTGTGGATACAGATGACTCTGCTATCCTCTAAGGCTGTGGTTTGCTTTTCAGCCTCAGGTTCCCTAACACCAAGGAACACCAGGAACAAGATTATTCCAATCAGTGTTCCAGGAAACAGTGCACTAAGGCAGCATTTTGGAATGGCTAATGGTGCTTGACATGACTAGTGTAGTGCATTTCAGTCATGTAGATGCAAAGACAAATTAGAATTTACATGTATAGTGATGTCTGTCTACTAGGAATCCACTTTGACAATACATGGCTTCTAGTTCTGGAGCCATGAAAGCCAATATTTAGTTTTTAGACTATAGCCCTGAATTTAATTCATTTGCTGTTTTATCTGTAGAGAGAAAGGTTTTTTTTCAAGATTGATTTTATGTGTGTATGGATGTTTTGCCCTTGTGCATATATGTGTACCTTGAGTGTGCCTGGAGCTTGCAAAGACTAGGAGAGGGCATTGGATCCCCCACAACTGGAGTTACACATGGTTGTGAGCCATCATGTGGGTGCTGGGAACTGAACCCAGATAGTCTGCAAGAGCTCTTAACTGCTGAGCCCAGCTCCCGATTGTTTTGGAAGTAGAGTTTCATGTAGCCCAGGCTGGCCTTAAAGTTAATGATCTTCCAACCTCAACCTCCTAAGTGCTGGTATTACAGATGTGCTCCACTATGTCTAGCTTAAGAGTTGAGGTTTTGTTTTGTTTTGTGTTGTGTTGTTTTAATCTAAACAGCTTTGCTGTAAAGTTAGAAATGAAAATATACTGTTGGGTCTCTAGTAAGTCTTTGAGCTAAATTGAGGTGAGTTTATTATACCTCTGAGATTCAGTAATATTTTCTGCCTTTGAAATGTTCCCTCTTCCCACGATTGATTCTCATGTTTTTATCCTCTCTAGGTTTGTCCCATAGAAATGAACTTAATTTGTTTCTAGAAGTAACCACACTGAATAATACGCCTTTTAATTGTAATGTACCCATTACAACTTAACAGTAACCAGCAGAATTTTATCCCTAGGTTTTTCTTTAGCATGAGAATATGTGACTGAGAGCACAGTAATTCAAACTCTGAAAATTACACAAAATATTCTTATCTAATAACCCCTCGGCTAAAAGGGTTATTTGGCCAAAGATACTGAGTTCTGAAGACTGAAAAGCAGGTTCTATTTATATGATAAAAGTGTGAACATAAACCATGCTCTGCTAGACAACAGAATTTTAAATTTTTAATCAGTATGGTTCTGTATATGCACTTAAATTTCTAGAAAATTCTAAAATACTGATGAAAGGTCCCTAGGTAATGACTTAGCAAGTTCCTAGTTCCAGGTTTCTATCTTTGAGACAAAGAAGTATTTCTCATCACAATTTTAAAAATAGACGTGTCGTGTTTAGACCTGTTTTAATCACTTAGTTAAGTAACAATCTATTTACAGAAGAAACTCAAATCTTCCCTTATATTTGTTTTTATTTTGTTTTGTTTTAATTCTAGCAAGCAAAGGCTGTCCTTTTAAGATTCAGGAGGCAGAGAGGCCTTGACTTATCTCCCAGTTTGAGTTGTTAGCTTTTCAGGGTGCTTCATTATTCCTCAGGGGTGAATTATTTATTGCTTCCTCAGGCCACTCATCAGACAGTAGCTGGTAATCAGCAGACTTCATATACTATCTTGGACAAGTAGTTCACCTTTTTCTAGTGTTTCTAATAGAAGTGCCGGGTTAGTAACTGAGTAATTGTTCTCTTCTCCCTGTAAAGTTCTTTGGTCTCTGATCCTGCTCTTGAAACGGCCTCTCATTCTGTTCATTCATAGGTGCATCCCTTATACTGTCTGTTCTTGGCTCTCCGGCTTCTGAGGTCCTGAAGGGAATGTGCTCTGGTTCACTCCACAATGCCACCTGTTCTTATGGGAACCCAACTATTCATCTCCCACTTTCGTCTTGATTACCACAAATCATTACAAATATACAATAAAATTTCCAATTTTCAAAGCAATCCTTTTAGTTTGTGCCTTCCTAGTTTCAGAGATCCGTCTGCTCTCCAATCAATGTTTTACTCATATCTCTTCTAGCTCCTTTCTGGGGTTGAGCTTCTATTTGAAAAATGCTTCTGCTCCTGACATTTCTTGTTCTGTCCACTTTGAAGTAATGAACAACTTACTTGGCTTTCATACAGTAACCTAGGAAGGTAGTCTCACAGAAGAGAACAGTGTAGTGGTTAAGTTTTTTTTTTTTTTTTTTTTTTTTTTGGTTTTTCGAGACAAGGTTTCTCTGTGTAGCTTTGCGCCTTTCCTGGAACTCACTTGGTAGCCCAGGCTGGCCTCGAACTCACAGAGATCCACCTGGCTCTGCCTCCCGAGTGCTGGGATTAAAGGCGTGCGCCACCACCGCCCGGCAGTGGTTAAGTTTTTAAAACTGCAATAAAAACAAAACATCTATTGTGGCTTTAGTCAAACAGTGTTTGGGGACAACTTGTATTCTTTATTATGCTTTGCCTAAGGTGATACAAAAATTAATTCCCATCCACTTGAGCATGTGTCTTCTCATGGCAGATGCATTCGAGGTTAAAAATGTGACACATATAATTCCCACATAAGAAAGTTAAAGCTAAGCTAGACACGGATCATTTTTCATCTTCTTAGTGCTCACTCTGACCTTTCATTTGTATGTTTAGCTAAATATATGGCACCATTACATGTGGAAATAGAGATGTACCTACAGTGTGCAAACCACTTTTATATATTTAATTTTGATGTTCATTATGGTGTTGGTGTTTATGATCTGACAGCTGGCTAGACACTCCCTTTCAGAACAATTCTGTTTTATGAAATTTCATTTTTACTTTTATAAGCTTGATAGAAACATTGCATCTAGTTTATCTTACTGTTGCCATAAAAGTCAGTCTCATGCAGAGTTAAAGGCACTAAAATAAATTGATTCCATTGGCTTTGGAACTGAATGGAACTTGATGTTTTCCTTCAATCTGCATTTGTTTCTAACATTTAATCATGCCTCATGGAAAGAGCCCCTTGGAATGATTAACCGTGGCATCTTGTAGGTTGTATAACTGGTTTCTCCCTTGCAAATAAATACTCTCCCTGGTATTAGGAGTATTTTGCTTTAAAAGTTGCTAACTACACGTGTTTTACTGGGGCAGCATCCGTTAGTCTTTCAGGGATTTGAGTAAACACAGGTGGACTCACCCATGCAAGCATGCGTTTTTTTAGCTAACAGATGGTTTCTCAAAACAAACCCTGTTCTTTTTTTTTTTTCCCTGTGTCAAAGTGAGTAAAATAGTTGTTTGAGACTAGAACATAGGCTGGGATTTTCAGTAGTGACAAGAAATGTTCTCCAGAAAGTTGATGGAATATGGCAGAGGAAACTTCTAACTTGGGCCTGGGAGACCTGGGTAGGAGGCTGGCTACTTCTAGTCATGAGACATGCCATGTGCTTGTTGGCCTTATTTTCCTAATTCAGGTAGCAAAGGACAAACTAGATTCTTAAGAAGTTTCCTTCTATCTGAAACTATGTGATTGCAGCTACTTGCATTATTTTAGGCTGTCACTTTTAATATTAGTTTTGCTTGTATTGGACCATTCACAGCTGTAATGTTTATCTTGAACGGCCTACCTTCAGTCAACAGACTGCAGTGCTCTTTTCCAGCGAACACTGTTGATTTTTTTTTTTTAATGTGGTAGGTATTGTACAAAGCCCTAGCCTGACTAGATAAATGAGAGGCACGTTCCACCCTTAAGTAAATACTAGAAATAGATGTAGAATTTACTTATCATACACATACACACACACACACACACACACACACACACACACACACACACACACACACACACACTGAGTAGGGGGATGAGCAGTAGATGAGGTATCATGGTAGTACAAAGGAGAAACTGACTAATTGTACTTTGAGGGGAGCCAGAATGACTTAAAGGAAATGGCCATTGACTGGCTTTGCAAAGATGAGTTTGCCAAGCAGAAAACAGGGCCAAGGAAGGCATCCAAAGGACCTACAGAAGAGGTAGACAAATGTGCAGAGTGAGATAGGAAGACACAGCAGTCGTGGAGTTGAACTTGAAGACAAAGTTTCAGTGTCCAGATGGGCAAGAATGGCCTGCAAACAGGACGAGGAATTGGGAGATTTTAAAAGGCTGCCAACACTGCCCTCACCTTCACAAGCTGAAGAATATTCACAGGATATTTTGGAACTCTTACTGGGATTTGTCCACAACAGTTGGGTGGGACAAACTGAGTATTAGCCTGTGTTTATTAAGCACATGCTACTTATTAGTGGTGTCCTAAGTCTTATTCTCAATATCAAGTCCAATATCTAGTTAGGAAAATTTACCAGCGTCTGGCTTCTTTTTTCTTCATGAAAAACATTTGTGGGATAAACATTTTAAAGATTGTCTTTGTATGACTGTAAGATAATCGCTAATTAAGGAGGGAATTTTTCGAGGGATTCAGATACATTTTCCTAACAGGCAATGTGATTATCACATGCACAACAGCACCTTTCCTTCAGAGTTCTACATCAAACCATTTGAATCATTGAAAAGGTAGAACGGGATGATGGCTTAGGAAGCCACTTTTTGTAAATTTTGAAATTCTAGAAGATCTTGAATAATTCTAAATTCCAAGAGGGGAAGTCCACTATCTGATTTTCTTCTCAGTGTCAGCCCTCTCCCCAGACAGTTATGGAGTGGGGTGAGGAGTATATGTCAGCTTGGAATGAGACTCTCGATTTGATCCATTTAATTTAGACACTTGTTATAATGTAAGTGCTTTTGCTTTTACTTTGGCAATTGGCGTGCAATTTTAATTAGCACTTGGAACACAGTAGAATGCGTTGATGAGGCACAAGACATGAAGAAATACGTTCATAATGGCCTGCTTGAGGACTCGGGCAGCATCCAAAAGAGACACTGTCTGTGTAATGCACCAGCTTCTGAGAATTCACCCTGGCTGGCATCTACACTCTTGAACATTAATCATCTCAATGTTTTCAGATGTCAAAATATTGGCATACAAAGTGTTGTCATCTATGCTACACTGAGAATATTAATTTCTTACTTGTTTTGATAAAGTGGCTGATGTATAAGGAAACTATGTATTTTCTTCATCTCCCCAGGATTGTCCTCCAACTTTGCCCTTCTAGCTCTTCCTAAATCTTTAAGCACCTCATAGCCATCTTTCACCACAATTTCCTCTCTGGCCATCTCTTCTGTTTATAACTACTTTTCATCCTTCTACAACTTCAGACTGCACTGCATAGCATTTTGTTAAAAGTGCTTCCTCAGCTGGGCAGTGGTGGTGCACACCTTTAATCCCAGCACTTGGGAGGCAGAGCCAGGTCTACAGAGCGAGATCCAGGACAGGCACCAAAACTAAACAGAGAAGCCCTGTCTTGAAAAAAAAAACAAAAAAAAAACTAAATAAATAAATAAATAAAAACTGCTTCCTCTTCTGTTGACCTTTCTGGTAGCTAATATTGTCAACTTGACAGGACCTAGAATCACCTAGGAGAAAAATCGTTGAGCATGTCTTCGAGGTGGTTTCTGGATTGGGTTAATTAATGTGGAAGACCCATTCTGTATGTGGACAGTGTCCTTCCATGGTCTGGGGTCCTAGAATGAATGAAAAGGAGAACACTGGCTGAACACTAGCATTCAATGCTCTCTGCTTCTGGACTGCTGATGCAATTTGCCTCAAACTCCTGGCACCGGGCTGTCACTACCCTCAAACTGGGAACCAAAGTGAACCCTGCCAATAAAGTTCTTCAGTCCGATGTTTTGCCACAGTGGTGAGAAAAATAGCCAATGAAGTTCTCAATGCCACCTTTGTAGGATCCCTGTCCCCGTATCTATTTTTGGTTTTGCTTTTTTAGTGGAATTCAGCTGAAAGGTGCAAAACGACGGAATAGAAAGAAAATACACACACACACACACACACATACACACACACACACACACACACACACACACACACACATCATAAGTGCACTGATAGAGGATGAATCGTTCTTACCTGCCCTGGGGACTGGAACCAATTAACTTCTTTGAGCTTCCTTAAATGAGGATAATAATACCTGTTATGCAGGATTGTGGTCAAGATTAAATAACTACTATCCATCAACTCAACATGTATAGAGAGCCCTATTACTCATTGGTAATTATAAGTATTATTTACTACACTTGGTAAGAAGAACATGGAGGTGAATAGGCCATGACCTTGTCCTAAAGACTTTATGAGGAGGGACAGACAAGAAAATAGACAACTGCAAAAGTAATTATTGATGAATGAGCAGGATTTGTGAGAACAAGGGTTCTAGGCATTGGAGCGAGGGCATCAGAAAGTGGAATAGAGAGCGAAGTTCTCAGACTACATCAGTCAGAGCAGTGCAAATTCGAAACACAGGGAGAGCTGCAATGTCTCTGTGATGGTGTGACTCGGTCGGAGCTGTAAAGATCAGGAGAGGCCGGTAAGCCAGAACCTGTGAAGGGCACAGGATCCTATTTGTGTTTTAGGAAGATCTCTTTCCTTGGCAAGGTGTGGGGTACTTTGGAAGAGTTCAGTGAACCAGTATGACCAGTTAAGAGGCTGCAGTTAGACCAGAGTGAAAGGAGCATAGGCATCAGTGGGAATGGGGAAGACACAACCCACTGAGAAACTTAAGGAGCCAGAAAAGCGTGTATGGGGGCGGGGAGGGTGTCACAGAGAGGAGGTAAGGAAAGGAGAAACTTTAAGGAAGATTATAGGATTTTTGACTTGGGCTGATGGCCTACTCTGTGACATAGGAAATACCAGATGGATATTTTATAAGCTACAGTTGGTTGCTATGTCTTAAATGCCCCTTCCAAGAAGTCATGCTGGAATTTAATTGCCATAGTAAGCCTTAGAGCTGGGCCTTTATGTAGTGATTAGGATTTGGGGGCTGTGCTCTCATGTCTGGGTTCATGCATTTACCACAGGAGTGGGCCCTGT